CCCTGGCCCGCGCCGCTGCCCTACTGACATTCACAAGTATGCATTCTATTTATAAAACATAAGTTATCGATCGCGACTTCGTTTGCGTGAAAATAAAAAACATAGCCTATGTTACTAGCTTTTTAATGGTGAAATAATTTTTGAAATCGGCCCAGTAATTTTTGAATTACTCCAATTCATACAATATAGGTACTAATCATTCCTGTTTATAATTTTAGTGTATACGAAAAAAATTATATCCTGTCATGTCACCAGGAATAGTGTAGCTTCCCAATAATGAAAATTCAAATTTGTTCTATACTTTCGAAGTCTATGCAATGCAACAAACAATTAAATCTTTATTTTTTATAATATTAGTATAAAAAATGCCCGTGAGTTCTTAAAAAGTCATTTTGGATTTTTCCAATATAAATTCACATAAAACAGAAAAAAAATGATATACTTAAAGATTTCAAACCGTGAATGTTGTGATTTAAATAACTTTTTTAAAAATATGAAATTTAATATTCACAGGTATTAGGTATATTGGCGTCTATCGTCCTGCTGCTGATGCATCCAAACAGTAAGAAAACATTAGAAAAATATTACAGCACTATAATTATTAAATCTTTATATCACTATAGAAAATAATGCAATAAACTTTTGTATAAAACAACTGGTGCTCCACAAATATGCCAATATGTTAGATATAAGTTAACAATATGTACATTTATAGATAGTAAAATTAAAGATTCAGTCAAATAATCTATGTTTATTATACATATATCAGATCTTACGAATCTGATATACTATACATATATATACGAAATAGAGATCATAGAATAAAAAACACTAAATCACATACGTATCTGAAATATGGCATTTATCTATATTTAAATGTAAATTTATATGTATATAACAACAATTAGGGCCTTTCTCACCAAATTGTGAATCCTCTGATTTGGTTCCCTTATCTGACAGGTACGTCATTTTTAAGTTATCTGAGCCTCTATCAGTCAGTGGTGGGATAGGCCCTTAATTTAATATTTTCGTAACGGCAATAATTAGATTCTCAATTGACAGCAATTTTCCTTATGGTCAAATTGACCATAAGTGCAAGGTTAGCTTTTCTAAATATAAAAATCGTGTCATGTTTTGGTTGTGATCATTATTGCAATGGATATTTCTGATATGTCTGTCATACAACGAATTATTTAAATTCACGGTTACTTCATAGTGCATAATTTTTTGTGGTATTAGTGGATATCGAAATTTATTTAAAAATGTGCCAATTTTATTAACGTCAGTTAAATTGCGATTAATGTTTTTTTTTAAATAATAAAGACATTGTCTTAGTTTAAAATAAGAGTTAAAATAATATACGCATATGGAATTGAGATAGTGCAATGTATGTAAGGTAATTACTGTCTTTTTAACATAAGGTGCTATTTCACTGTCCGTGCCTCGATAGTATTTATGTAAGTTTTATAATATCTTGTATTATAATAGAGTAATTATATAGAATATAGAAATAATTGTAAATAGTTCAAATGTTAGATTATTGTAAGATTTCTATGGCAAAAGTTATTGCCGCAATTCAAGCATTTTCTGTCGTATCACTAAAACATATCACATACCAATTTTACACTAGTTACATATTTCGATATATTCAGTAACCAGATAAAAGATTTAAAAAAAATAACCTTAAAAGTTAATAACTTTTTGCACACTGCAAGCGATATCTTCGCTATAAGAATTTTTCATCACCTTAGTATTGCCATATGCCATTTTCCATTTCTAACATTTGTTTTATATCTTGAAAAAATAATATTTACATAGTTTATTATACAATAACTTATATTTCCAATACTAATGCACACTTTATTCACACTTAATGGCAATAATGATATATAAATATATTTCTAGTAGAATAAGATTAATTTTTACAATTTAATAAAGCTGTTATAAATAGTATGTTGAAACAAATAACTATCAGTTTTAAGAATCTTTTTGTAGGTGTTAAGTATGGTGACCTTGAAATCTATCTTGATTTTGTAATTTGCTGAAAATGTAATATATTGCTTGTAAATCTATATTACATTGGTTTAGTATTCAGATCAAAACAATTTTGAAACTTACAAATTAGTATAGCTTGTGTTACGCATTAACTGTGCAGCGAACTTTACGACTTTACAATTATCTTGTAAAAAGATAAAAAAGGCTTTTTAGAAATGTTTAAGCATTTTATTTGTAGGCGATTCTTTTGTACCAGTGTCATAAATCAGTTTTCTATTCAAAATGACTACGAAATTTGTAAATAATTTAATTTTGTATACGTTTATAAATATTTATAATTTAAATTACATTTATTAAAATATAATTTTTTAACAAATGTAATTATATTATCTGTTTTTCTTTAATGATGTACGTGTGAATAATTTTGATAGATTTTAAAAATTATTGACTCCATCTAGTTGTAATTATAATTAACGAAGTTGTGTTGCGTTTGCAATTGGTAGCTTTTGTAAGTGGTAGCTTTAGTATCACTAAGTTGACTTTGACACCGTTGCCTTAATATGTTGTAATTGGTACTAATATTGACTGATTTGAGATTTTTTTTATAAAATAAAACTTCTGTACCTGTTTTATAATTGTTTTATTATAAATAACTTTATTTTATTATTATTTGAGGATATATATTGCTGTTATGGTGACGACCAGTGAAATACCACGACCTCAAATGTGCCTAAGTGAGGTGAGGTAAACGCAAATCTAGTCTGCTCTTTAGTTCCTAGACGGAGAAGAATGAGACCTTATATGTAAAGAATTAAAAAAAAAATCTTTTATAGTCATAATCCAAAAGTAAATGAATAAACGTTCTTATGTACTCTACGAGAGATTTTTCTGTGAACAAATTTAATACAATCTAAAGGAAATTTAAGACTAAAGTTAAAAGGATTAGGAAATCTCAACAGTGGGATTTGAGTTTTAAACTTTTCCGTCACGGTAGCAATGATCCGACAGAATCTGTCCTCGGGGGTAGATAAACCTGATGTTTAAGAAATTGGTATTTAGGGACTATATTTACGTTTTATTTGTTAATCTATGTTTGTTTTAAACACAGTATTTTATAATAACATTTGTTTTATTTTTACTTACATCAAAGGGACATACGGTATGTTAGAGCATAACCTTTGTCTGTTCAACATGTGACAAAATGTATTGTTATCCTTTTTTAAATAAATAAGAGAGAAAACTTACTTCATATTAGGTTTTAAAACAGGACTCTACCATAAAAATATCGTAGAGATTAGTTTTATGGTCTTTTTTACTTAAAATATCTCATTACTATTTTATTTTCACCCTTTAGACTTAGGTAATGAAATTTAAAAAAAAATCTGAATAAACACAATCGGAATTTTAAGAAAATTTTAAGTAAGTTTCTTTCAACTCAAAGCTTTGTATAAAGCTTTAAATATTTGAAATATTCTTTATATTAAGATTTTTATTTCTTTAGAAAACAATTTAAATCATTTATTATAATCAGAGTATTTATAGTACTTATGGCTAATTTAAAAAAAAAAGCGTAATACAAAAGTAAGTTGTTAGAAACTGTTGTAATAAATAATTTGCTATTGCTAATTATGTAGGTTCACACGATGGCCCGAAGGTCTAGTCTCGGTTGATGTCTTCTGCAACTAGCATGGAAATATCACGTAGCGGTTGTTAAAGGACACCTTTATGGATATTATTAAGTATTCATTTCCATCAGATTGTTTAGACTACAGCAATGCTTGTATAATAGATGAGGTTATATTTGGTTTAGGTTAAAAAGACATAACAATGTGTGAGTGATGCCAAATATTTATACTTCAATTTTAGGATCCAATTACGCCGCACATTGGGCTGTATCCAGTTGCTCTATAGACAACTTTATCTGATGTTTGAAATGTCTCTTTTTTTGCTTGAATGTGCTTTGTATCA